CAATGGGTTTGTTTTGTTTTGGTATTTCCTTTAAGTTACTCTTTGGTCATTAAGACTTTCAGCAAAGCTATAATTATTGAACATTTTTTCACACATACTGGAGATACTTCTAGACCAAATTCTATTTTCAGTGCACCTGCATACAACTAAAGAAAAATGTGTGTACTAACTTGAGGACAGAGATCCTGTATGTTCCATGTTCACAGCCCCGTTGCTCCACAGAGAACCTGGCATCTAGTAGACATTTAGTAAATATGTGCAGAATTAATTTGTCCTAAGACCTATCTGGTAGCATAGTGGCTAAGACACTTGCCTGCTAACCAGACGGCTGGCGGTTCAAATCCACCAGCCACTCCTCGGAAGGAAGGTTGGGCAATCCTACTTCCGTAGTGATACTGCCTCGGAAACCCAAGGAGGGGTCGCTATGAGTTGGGGCCGACTCGACGGCACATAACAACAACAACAACAAAGACCTATCTATACCCTGTTAGAATTATTATACACATACAAAGTTGCAGGCATGGCTGAGTCGGCATGTGTGTATGTGTCTATGTGTGCACGTGCTCTCAAAATCCCATCAGCATCTGCCCACATGGTCAAACTTCAGGTTGAAAACATTATCCATTCCCCCTTGGCATGTATGTTTGTATAACAAGACCCTGAAACAAGTTTAACCATAATAATTGCCCCAAGAAAGATGATTTTAATTAGCATTTCCCCAAACACGCCAATCTTCTAGCACCTAAAAAGTGAACTCAATTTTCATTAGGAAAGCTGTTTCCTTCTCCCTAGAAAACATATGCCTTTTAAAGTTTTTAAAGTTTCAATTGCCAATTTAAATGTCCAGTTAGTTCATAATAACACAAATGCATGATTTACCTGTCACGCTTTCCCTGGAAAGCCCATTTGAACCACTTCCCAAACCACTTTTACTTCTGCTCAGACTAGTGTCCAGTACTACTACCTTGTTTTCAACTTCTGAAGCTCAATTCTCCCAAGTGCATTCCTGAGGCAGGCTGACAAAAGCCAGATGACACTTGCAGCCTCCTAGGATAACCTGCTGAGGAGATTCTCAGCAGGCAAGTGGAAATTGGAGTCAGCCTGGAGATCTGAAATGAGTTCAGATTGGAGAGGTCAGTTTGGGAATCATTAGTGGGGAGGTGAAAGGTGAAGCTATGTGAGGAGATGAAGTCACCCAGTAAGCGGATATAGCAAGAGAAGAGAAGCAGATCGATGACAGGACCTTGGGAATTCTTCCACTTAAAGGGGCAAAAGAGAGAGAAAGTGTGTGTGTGTGTGTGTGTGTGTGTGTGGAGAATGAGATTTCAACAAAGGAGACCTAAGGAGTGTTGGGAAGACAAGAAGGAAATCAAGATAAATTAGGAATTATGTGGAGGATGAGAGAGGGGACACTTTAAAGCAAGAAGATATACAGAAGTGCTAGAATCTCCAGAGGTCAAGAAGACTGAAGCCAATTTCAAATTCTCATGGACTCTAGACTTCCTGGAGCCATGGAGACTGGATGAACCTTTAAAACGATTGCCCGGAGGTCATCTTTAAACCTTAAACCAAAAATATCCCCTGAAGTCTTCTTTAAACTGAACACTAGTTGAGGTGAACTTGTAAAAAAGGTCTGCCTTGAGCACTAGACTCTTTTAAGAACTATCTGTAAGAGACTGAAGTAACAACAGCAACTCCAAAGATTAGACAGGAACCTTAGGTAGTAGTGAGTTTATGTTAATGGAGGAGGAACAACTCAAACAAGGAGGGTAAGCATGTCAGTGAATTTTACATGTAGAAACTTGAACCGATGTATGTTTTGCTGTATATATTCTTGACAACAATAATTAAAAAAAAAAAAAAAAAGAAAAGGAGATGGCTGAGGCCAAGAAGATGCCATCAGAATTTAAAACATGGTAGTCACAGATAACATCTGGGAAAGCAGTCATCCTGATGACATTCCTATGGACTCTATATGCACACACATGGATGTGCACAGGTGAGTACAGGTGAGATTAAATACTAGTATTGAATGAGGCTGGTACTAGGTATACAACACAATGATGGTTGGTCGAGGGTCTCCTTTTGCAATGCACTTTGCCTAGAACATCTCCTTTAAAACATATACTGTCAGCAGCATGGATGTGTTTTGGTAAACCTCATGAAGGTATATTTAAAAAGTTCTGACTCAGCTCTTCGGAAGATTCGTTGAAGCTGTATGATTCCAAAATAACCAGTTATAATTCAAATGCATTCACTACAGTGGCTCCCAATGGTTTGGAAGTTAAAAATAAAAAGTGTGGCGTCATTGATTTGGTGGTTGATATTGATATTCATATTACATGACAATCAAATTCATCTGGAAAATGAGGGTATTTGATAGGATGCTCTTAAAGGCCCCCTCCAGCCTCGACTTTCTAGGATTGTCATATGCAGGCCTAACGCCAGTGATTTTAAAGATATGGGATATGAAGTAGAACGTAAATGCAGCAGCAGAACTGGTTGGCACATCAGCCTCCTTTAATACCTTAAATATATAGAGGCCTTCTGTTATAATACTATAAAAAGAGTTTTTGGCTGTTTAAGACATTGATTGCTAGCTTAAACAGAAGTTTGGAAACTACATCACAAAATGATACACTGCAAAATGAACCAAATAACTTGCTTACAACCAATTGTAGACCTTATGATACAGCTAGCTATAGGAAAAAGAGAGAGAGAGAGAGTGACAAGACACTCTGGCAATTAATGTTCTTGCTGTCTATAGAAAAACAAATGAGGTTCTGGTCTGTAACAATTAGCATCATTGTTAATTGTGCATGGGCTTAGCAACAATACTAGGCATTTGGGATGGCTTCCACTGATTGTTCCCTTCTTTTTCTAGATCACAAAAGTACATTCAGACAGCTAAATAACAGCAAGCACTTATGCAGTAGATAATTATGAGGCAGAGATAATCATAATCTTGTATATTCATGAAACAGCATATACAATGGGGATTACCAAAAGAAGTGTTGCTTTATTATTTTACTACTGGTTGGAAAATTTGCTGATCTTGCAAATAGTTTTCATACATCATTCAGTCCACCAGAAATCAAAAATGGCCCCATCAACATTTACCAAGGCTGTTTCTTTCCCACCCATACCGTCTGGATTTCTCTCTTCCCTTCTCACTAAGATCAGGTCTCAACTGCTCCTACAATAACTTCAGGTCAAACTGATGAGCACCATAGTAAGAACAAAGAAAGTGTTAGGATTTGTCTTGTTATATAGCAAAACTGTTACAGAGAGATGATGCTAGCATGAAGCAAATTTGAAAGCAAAACAAAAACAAAATTCTTAACATTTCCCCCATAAAAGGAACTATAAAAGCAAACTCATTGCCATTGAGTAGATCCCAACTCATAGTAACCCTGTAAGACAGAGTAGAACTGCCCCACAGGGTTGCCAAGGCTAGAAATCTTTACAGATTCAGACTGCCTCATCTTTCTCCCACAGAGTGGCTACTGAATTCGAACTGCCGACTTTTTAGCTAGCAGCAAAGTGCTTTAATCACTGCACCATCAGAGCTCCTTATAAAAGGAACTATAGGGATAATAAAAACCAAACAAATCAAACCCGTTGCTGTCAAGTTGATTCGGACTCATGTTGACCCAATGTGTTACAGAGTAGAACTGTGTTCCATGAGGTTTTCTAGGCTGTAATCTTTACAGAAAAGATCATCAGGCCTTTGGGTGGATTCAAAGCACCAACCTTTTGGCTGGTCGCAGTAGGAAGCACAAACTGTTTATACAACCCAAGAACCTGCCTTATAGGGATAATAAGCATGTCAATAATGCTAGTATTCTTGACATCATGTCACACCCCACCTATGATCTTTTAATGCCCTCTTGATACTAATATTGTGTGATTCAGTGTTTATGGGTACCTATGCCATTAATCTCAAAGAATTCTAATCTGGCTATGAAATTAAACACTGAACCTACTATCCTCAGTTGTCAAATAAGTCCTCTGGGGCCCCAATGAGACTAGACAGCCCAGCTACTGAAAACTACCTGGGTATCTAAAAGATGACCCATTATTCTATTTTAATGTGAATCTACTCTGGTGGGGGAATACTGAGGCTACAGCCTTTACTCTAACTTATCTGGCCTGGGAGCAGAGGATAGGAAGTAGGTGGGTAGGAAGAGAAAGAAGAGCACTAGTAAATATTCCTGGAGCCAAGAAGCCTTCTTCAGTCCAAATACAGCATTGGTGAACATCATGACCTTAGAAAACAATGTGCGAAGCCAATTTTCATTCAAGTAGAGTCCACACTGGCTGAATGACTTATGATTCTCACCAGCCCCTTCAGTACTAATGGCAATAAGATGGTACACCTGGGGGCAACAGTCGTTGCCTGCAAGGGCAGCATCTTGAAGCATTCTCGGGCTTTCTCTCCCCTACAATTATGAACTTTCTGGTGCATGATTACATTTGCCCTGCTGCAGGGGTCATGTTGTAATGGTCCCTGACCCATGAGATTAGTTTACTTTACAAGCATATATATTTACATACTTTTAAAGCCCTAACATTTTCAAATAATTTATTTACCTGCCGGGAAATGCTGCCCTAGTTGTTCCCTAAAGCACCATGGGCCCAGCAACAGGCAGGCATTCCTCAAACACCGTGAAGAATGCTTGGTTGATGGTGGGGTCTTGTTAACAGCACACGCTACCATGTGATCCATTTCGGCAAAAAGAGAAAAAGGAGTGAACAACCTATGGAGCAGATGTCTGGGGTGCTGGCCCTGAATATTCATCCCATTTCTGAATGAGGTCAACTTTCAGACCTGAGACTATAGGCCTGGGTGGTTTCTAGCACTTTTTGGAAATAATTTGTTCACGCTAAAAGTCTAAAGATCCATTGCATCGAAATTAAGCTCATGGGTAACTAACTGCATGGTCTTTTTACCCTAGATGATCTGAACTCATTGAAACTAAAAACGCATTGTCACTTACCGTGCCGCATCTAGAATCTGAAAAATCCTCCACCTGTTGAAGGAACAGTAAAACCAGTTGCTAACAAGAGCTTGCAAGAGAGGAGTTAATGTAATACAAGTTTTCCATTTTGCTTCGATACCTTATTTTGCCAGCCTCCCAAAGTACAAGGAAAGAGCTCATGGATGGCTCTCCCACTTTGCTCCCCATTAGTTCCCCTGAAGTAGCTGGGGGAGTTCTGAGACAGAGGGCAGAAAGGAGCAGAGCAACACCCAAAGCCAGACCTCTGCATGGCTATGGACTGGGAGTGAGAGCTCTACCTACCGCTCATTCATGGTAACTCCGTTCCCTTCACAAAGAGCAATGACAATCTCAGCAAAAAACAAAAACCAATAAACCAAACCCCAAAAGAAACCAAACTCTGTGGCATCAATGAGATGAAAATGCCTGATTAAAAGGAAACGAGAAGGCATCCTCAGGGATTTTTCTTATTATCAGGACTATATGAAACACAGGTAACGAAAGGAAATGAAAAGGAAAAAAAGAACAATTAAGACTCTGCTGAAGCTCTTCAAAAACATAAAAATTCAAAGCGCTTACAACTTCTTGTCTCTTCCACCTGGACTCAAGTAAGCAATATCTCTCCATTTAAAAAAAAAAATTGCTTAGCTGTTTCATAATATATGTCTATGGAGTCACATACTACATGGGCTTCTGATATTAACAAGGGACTGTGAAGTTTGCAAGGGTCAGTTGTTAATTTAAGGATTCAAAAGGGTTCAGTCAGCTTTCTGTTTTATGTTAAGCCAGAACAAGGGATATTATAATATAATAATATTTTTAGTTCAATATGGGTTTTATAGCCTGTGCATTTTCTTGGGAGAAATGTTTATTTGCATCAAATATGTTCGGAAGCTTTAGAGGTGAGTTAAGAGACTCTTTTAATCGCATGGCTAGCAGCAGAGATCATCGTTTGAAAAACAACACGAGAATCCGTCATGCTCAGTTCCTGCTGTGGTTAAGTGCCCACTGCCTGGTTTTGTGAGTTGTTAATACTGCTAGGGAAGTGTTATGAGAAATAACAGTGACGTACTTGGTGAACCTGACATCAGATCCATTAGACAATACACCCCCACACTAGTAGACTTACCATCTGGGGCCCAATATGTTCTTCTTCCATTTCAGCCACAAGAAAGAAATAATCTAGAATGTGCTGACCTGCCCTGTGACTTAGAGTTCCCGTACAGTAAAGAGGGGCTAGGGCTCCTTTCACCATGCTCATCCTTATGCACAAAAAAAAAATAACACAACTTTGAAGGAAAATAAAAGGAACAAAGAACAAAGATACAAGGCCATATGCTGATTCTTACTACCAGAAAATTCGAAAGTCAAATATGGAGCACTTTCCCAAACTGTAATTTGCATGTTATTTCACTGATATAAATCCTCAAATAACATAAGTATGTGCATGATACTGCCTCAGAACCCCAAGGAGGGGTCGCTATGAGTCAGATCCGACTCCACAGCAATGAGTTGTGTGTGTGTGTGTGTAATTGATTTTGATGGAGGCTGGACCAAATTTAACTTTAATTGGGAAAACTACTATCTCTTGACATTGTTTATTTCTGTGTAAACTTCGCAACTGCCTATTAAAGTCTTTCCAGTGATTGCACTAAGAAGACTTTCGGGAGCTTATTGTCTTACCTGGGAGTGCAGATTGCCAGAGGTGGGGTGTTCAGTGATGATCCGTGCAGATGTTACAGGAGCATCAACCAAAGGGGTTAATGATCATCAACAGTGGACCAAAGACCATGGGAAAAAGAAAAAAAGGAAAGGCATACTGATTAGAAACAAGAGATTAATTTTAAGAACATATTTTATATTTATGTATACATACACATTTTGGGAATATTCTTAAGTGTATTCTTTTTAAGAGACCCTGTAATCATGATGTTTTGCATTAAAAAAAACTGTATTATCTATTATATACCAGGCATTGTTATAGATACTAGGGATACAGTAGTGAGTAAAATAGACAAAAATCCCTGCCCTCATGGAGGTTACTATATTGTGGAACTGTGTTTAGGCCATCTGCTTGTAAAAGAGTTCCACAGAAATATACTGAAATGTTATTAACTCTAGGAAAGAGCCTCCCCATCTATTTGTGTCTTTATTTATGTATGGAGAACATAATGGAATCAGGTTCAACATTTGCATTAGAGAGAATTCTCTTTCTGATTGGAACCAAAAAAAAAAAAAACAAAAAAAAACCCAAACTCATTGCCATTGACTTAGTTCCAACTCATAGCGACCCCTCCTTGAGTTTCTGAGGTGGTATCTCTATGGAAGTAGATTGCCCAGTCTTCCTTCCGAGGAGTGGCTGGTGGGTTTGAACTGCCAGCCCTCTGGTTAGAAGTCAAATGTCTTAGACACTATGTCACCAAGGGACATTATAAATTAATGATTTGTCCTCATGTAAAGCTTTCCACTAAAAGGCTGTTAAGAGGCATATTTCTTTTCGAAGGTACCATTTAGTGGCCATGGAATTCCATGTGCTAGTACCCAAAAACAGGAGCTCTGGTAGCATGGTGGGTAAGGCATTTGGCTGCTAACAAGGAGGTCAGTGGTTCAAACCTACCAGCTGCTCCCTAGGAGGAAGATGAAGCAGTCTGCTTCTGTAAAGATTTAAAGCCTTGAAAACCCAGTGGGGGGTCACTATGAGTCAGAATTGAATCGATGGCAGTGGGTTTATTTAAGTATCAAAAAAAGCTATAAAAACAAGAAGTCTGTAAGTGGTAGTTTCATAATACTGCAGGCCCTCATCCCAACAGTTTCTCTCATTGGTTACTGTGGTGTTTTGTAATAGTTGGCCCAGGTGACATTCCTAGATTGGATTCACCACCCCTTAGCAAACCACATCTTTGGAGAGCAATAGCATTTGGTAGGCTCAAAACCAAAAAAAAAAAAAAAGAAAGAAAAAGAAAAAAAAAACCAAACTCACTGCTGTTCTGCTGTTAAGTTGGATCCGACTCATAGTAACCCCTCCTTGGGTTTCTGAGGCAGTATCACTATAGAAGTAGATTACTCTGTCTTCCTTCTGAGGAGTGGCTGGTGGGTTTGAACTGCCAGCCTTCTGGTTAGCAGTGAGATGCCTTGGGCACTCTGGCTCAAGGATCTATGCTTATGCACATGATCCAGAAGCAGTAAGAGTAGTCTTGCTCTGGGCCCAGATTCTAGGAGATATGACTAAAAATCTCCCAAATGACAGTTACTGCCTCGGTGTCAAAATAGAGAAAGGAGAAGACGAAAATGAAGGGAACACACATACACCATTGGAGTAACTGGAATTTTGGGAAGGTTGGGCAATCTACTTCTGTCGTGATACTGCCTCAGAAACCCAAGGAGGGGTCGCTATGAGGTGAACCCAACTCCACGGCAATGGTTGCATTGTGTTGCATTATGGGAACTCAAAAATGCCAGATAGGGATTCATGCTAACCAGGAACCTCAAACTATGACACTCCTGCTACTTTCTCATCTCTTGACACTTATATTCTCAGAACTGCTGCTGAAGGCTCCAGAAACAGTGACATTACTGACTTTGATATTAAGGATCCAAATTAAGATCTTAAAAAAAAAAAAGTATGGTATAAAAAACACAAGAGCTCTTGCATAGAAATCCTGATTCTTGGTTTCTGATCCTGGTTGTACCAATGACTCATTTGATGATGGGCAAATTTCCTTGCCCAATTTCTCAGGGAGTTGCATAAAATGAAGGAGTTTGACAAGGTAGTTTCTAAAAATCCCTCCATTTCCAACATTCTGTAATTCTGTATTACCTTTGCCTTTCATTTTGGTGCCAAGTTCATTAAATGTACACTGATCACTAGTCATTTTCTCAGTACAATGTGTCATTGGCAGTTCAGAGAGTCCAGAGCCCAGCATTCTGAGCTGATGAGTAAATGAGAACTTGGCCAAGACACTAATATCCATGTTGAAAAGTAGCTGAATATCATTCTGCCCAGGGAAACAACTTTGTTTATTTGAAATATAGGCTGGCTTGTTGTTTATGGTGGAAAAATTATACTAGGAAACTTAATTGAGAATGACAAGGGGAACCTAACTGATGAACAATTGACCCCTGGTTTCTATTTCTGCTCATGCAGCTTCTTCATCTGCCGGGAGCCTAGGATGGTGGTGATGGCTGTCCATCAGCTGAGACCTCTACAGGCACACATTTCCAGATAAAGGCTAGAGATGCTCAGCTCCTGTAAAAGCCACTTTATAAAAGGCACCAACAGTGTTTCTATCTGACTGCAAATCTGTGGCAGATAATACACTCTGTGGGAACCAATTACCTACCACTGTTGCAGAACTGCCAAGGAAATGACCCACTCAACCGCTCTGATTTCTGACACTGGACTGGTTTTCTCACTCTCTTTCCAACTCCCACACCAAGAGTTGCTGTGCCTTTGATTTCTTCACCTCCTCCCCACTTAGGATGCCCTTCCACCCTCATCTTGGTCTGGCCTGGTACATTGCTCCTCAATAACCCATCATTTCCTTTTACATCTCAGCCCACATTCTTCATTGGGTCTCCAAAGTTAAATACAGTACATCCTGGTGAAATAAACTTACCATTCTGCATGCTCAATGTGGTCTCCCTAAAAGGGATGGGGATCTGGTGGGGCAATGGTTAAGTGCTCGGCTACCAACCAAAAGGTTAGTGGTTCAAACCCACCAGCAGCTCTGTGAGAGAAAGACCTGGTGATCTGCTCCCATACAGACGTCAGCCAAAAACACCCTATGGGGCAGTACTACTCTGTCACATGAAATTACTATGAGTTGGAATTGACTCAACAGCACCCAGCAACATTAACAACAATCCATGCCTGCAAAGTCACAGACCAAGGACTCCAGTTCAAACCGGTGGAAGAGAATGGAGGACCCAGACAAAAGCTACATGTTGTCTTTGCTGGCAAAGTGTTAAAATGCTTGTCCTCTGCTTGTTGCCTGTGCACAGGAATAAGAGATGCTATGTTGTTGTTGTTGTTG